AATATCTCATAGAAGTTCAGGACTTTAATATCCTGTCTAGCAGGGCCTGGCTTGGAAAACATTGAAAATTATCTTGAAAAAAAGCTTTCTTGAGAGTTTAATCATTTAGTAATGCCTAAACTGGCTCTTTCTCTCTCCCTTAATGTTCTTCCTATGTACCTTCATCTGCTTTTGTTCCCCACTTCTTTTCCTTTCCTAATGCTGTTACTTCTCACACCTTGTCCATCCCATTTTATTGTTTATATTTCTAATTTTCTAATTATTTCTTGTAGAAGGCAGTATTGGAGTGTATGTATTGTGTATATATTTTTCTTGTCTGGACAAGCCTCTACAGTTTTCTTGGCAAGGTTTTTCAGTGGTTTGCCATTGGCTGAAAGTGGCCAATTTGGGGCTGAAAGTGCTGGCCCAAGGTCACTCTCTCTCTAAGGCGGGATTAGAACTCACTTTCCTCCTTTTCTCATCTTATGTCTTAACCACTACACCAAACTGGCTTTCATGTCTATATATGTGTGGTTAGATATGTAAGAGAGAATGGCTGATATATATACAGAGGAGATCAATTACTTCTATAAAAGGGATAATGTTGTGGCCAATTCATTAATTATTCATTTTTATTGAGTTCTTGGTTTTTGATCTTGCTTCTCTTCCCATATGCATTTTTTACCAGTCTAGGTAACATAATCAGTGCATGGAGGAATGGAGCTTGTTGGCAGTTAATATGTGATAGACTATCCTAACAATTTTGATTAGTTTATTGTTTCTTCCTTGATTGGTCTTGTTTATCAAGTGCTGGTTCCTGCTTATCTAAATATTGATTGATAGGTAAGCTTATTGTGGAATATCTCAATCCTTGACCTTTGGTTGTTTTCTGTCAAACAGTTTGTGCTTGGACCCTTTCTCAATGTGCTTGTTAGCAGCTGAACAACAATACATGTATTTAAGCTTTATAATTTTATAAAGCTGTAGCTTAGTTTCCTGCAGATACCATAGAGATTCTACTCCTGGATTGTCTAGGGAACAACACTGGCTGCATAGAGCTGATGCCACTGTTGGGAACTAAAAAAATTAATGACTGCCTGCATCATTTTATGTTGCATTTTCTTATGTAAAGATAATTGGAAACTTGTTAATCGGACAACTGGTTTTGAGCAGCTAAATTAACTAATTAAGAAAATCACAATATTAGCATCACAGACAAGTGTATGTATAGTTAGATATGCATTCTCTCTCCCTCCCTCTCCCTCTCTGTCTCTCTGATTCACCATACTCTCTCAGTTCCATGTACATAGTATTTAGTATTCATTAAACCGGCACATTAGTAATTAGTAAAAGCTAACACTTTTTTCTGGGCTATCCTTTGTTTAAAAATCTTGGGCATTCTATTTTATCAACAGGAAATAATACAAGCTTTGGAAAGTATTTCAAAAAGAGAATTGAAGCACAGACAACCACTAGTTCTGTCTTTTGTATAATGTTAGTGGACTTGAGTACAAATCTTTAATAATGCTTTTATTATCAGCCATTATCAACTGGGGAATATGGATTATTGCTCATTTTTGCTTGAAACTGATATGTTATTCATATCTTGCTGTCACAAACTCTGTCAGTTTCTCTGTCTTCGCCCTTGAGGCACATCTGGTTGAAATACACAAATACTGTGAAATAACATTTTATTTTGTAGCCAGAAATAATTGTAAAATCAAGAACCAAGCAGAGTCAGCATTGATTAAATTCTCAATTTACTCATCTGAGAGTCTCCCCATTTCTATTCCATATTACCTTTTAAAAAAGTTCTGTAACATATCTTCTGTCCAACTTTTTTTGGCAATTCTTTTGATATTTTAAGAATTGGCTTAGGCTATCCTATGTAAATGGTACTCCATTTTATTAGAAAACAATACAAAATGATATGTCGATTTTGGAGACATTATTGTTCATAGTAAACTACTGGATATTAGTAGTTTAAATAAATAAAATCAGTATTATATTTTATATCACTTGAATTTCCTGGAAAATCTTCATCAAAAATAAAATAAAAGACTATTTCAGTTTAGCAAAAATTAGATTCTTTTGTCTGTATATCTTTTTTAAAAGATGAGATGATCATAAAGTGAATCATTACTGGAGTGTATACTTGAATATGTATAAACTATCTAAGATCATAAAAATACTTTGCAAATAATCTTAGGGAAAATTCTTGAATTCTGGTTTAGTAACTTTCAGTGATTGTGTTCTAACTATATAGGAGGAGCTGTGAGATACATATTCAGACAGGAAAATAAGTACAGGTAGTCCTCGAGTTATGAATGTAATGGAGCCTGCCAATTACATTCGTACTCGATGATTCGTTGAAGTGAATCACTTAAAATGAACATGAAAACTTGCTTTTGCCCATGCATTCACTAATCGAATGTGCGGGTCGTTAAGTCCACAAGGTATCTCAGGGTGGGGAAGGCCATGGGGAGGGGGCCTAGTGCTTCCGACAACCCAAGGCCTCCCGTGACCCACTGAGAGATCCCATACTCCTTCCCACCCTTTGGGGTCCCAAGCTGCTTGGGCCTTACCTACCCAACCAGTCATCAACCACTAACTTACTTTTGGTGCCACGTTTCAGAACCCCACGCTGGCCACACTTGTCTCCTGTGTGGCCTTGGCTTCCAGAGCCCTTGTCCAGCCAGATGGAGAAGCGCTGGGCTGGCCTTTCATTCCCTGCTGAGCCCCAGCCTCTTTCACAAATGGGTATGGCCCTGCCACTTGCTGGAGTGCAGAACCTGCCCAAATTTCACAAATTGCGCTACTGCGGAGCTAGAGATCTTGGTGCGCACCCCCACACTCCATGGAGTTTGCTATATAGTATCAGCAGTCCTTCTTTTCCCTTTTCTGTTTTGAAAGATAAACATCTTATAGAGATAAACAAGATTAAAATCTATTAAAAAGAAAAACATTGCAATGTATTTTTTAATAGAGTATATTAAAATAATATTAAGAGAAAAGATCATTTAGCTATCCAATTTCAAATGTAGGAAAAGATTCCAGATAAATGAAGATAAAAAAGAACATAATATCTAATGCTTTGCCCACCATCACAAGATGGTGCTAGCACAATAATAGCACGACACGATTTAGATTCCCAAATAATATATATATATATTTTAAAAACCCTGTAACTGCAGTATAAGATACTTTCTGCAGTCCGGACTTGATTTAGTAATTAAAGTTACAAGTTGATTGCCAAATTTTCATAAATTTATAAAGTGACAATATTAACTGACATCCACAGTGCACAACAATTAAACTTAACACAGTTTTTATATAACTCTTGACTTGTTCTTCAGAGATTGTGGAATCCAGTTCCCTTTCTGCTCCAGTTGTAATCCGGAAATTCTGCTTTTCCAGAAAATTAATTAAAGGCTTGAGAATGTTGATAGCTCTCTTGCTTTCCAATCCTTGTAAGACTTTTTTGCCAGTTTTCTTTCAAGAGTTTTCTCTGCAGTCTACCCCACCAAAAAAACAAAGTTTTTTTTCCTCTCTGGGATAAGTGTGATTGGAGAATTTGATGTAGTATGTGACACAGATCATGTCACATACATAATTAATTCAAACTCATGTGCTAGTTGTTTCTCATTTAAGTTGGTTGACTGTCAAAATTGCATTTCACAATAAAACCTGAAGTCTTTAGTTATGTTTTGAGCTTATTTGGTTATTTAGATATTTCCTCCTCTCATATAAAACACCGGAGCCTGCTTTCAAAAATGTTCTTGTTGAACTGATCTCTCTGAAAAGAATCATTTAAAACAAAATTGTGTTCCTTTTATCTGCAAGGAATTTAATTAAATTTAATTCCTTTTCCTCGACTTTTTTGCTATTGTTTTTCTTTGTCTCTTAGAGATAGATACAGTCCAATTTTACATTTTGTTAAATGCTGCAAGTACTGACCCCATTACAGAAATATTATGCATTTTAAATTTCCACTAGCCTGTCTTTTTCATTAAAAAGTGGAAAACAATTTTAAATATGCTTTTTAAAAAATCTCTGACTGCTTTCCCAGTTCCAGCTTTATTTGTGCCTGATCAGCAAAACCCCACAAATTTAGTATCCAGTAAGTATAATACATATCTTCTATTTTAGTTCCAAAGTGCTTAAAATTCTTACTGGTGAATTGATAATAATCTGATCCATTATTCAATGTGTTTATACTAGTTTCCTCTTACAGTTTGTGAAAGAAAACTTTCTACTGCAGTATTTGTTAATTAAAATCATAGTACCAGTGATAATTGCTTTTAGTTTTGTTCATAAATCATATTTCTCTTCAAGATCTGTGTTTTTCATAAATATGTAAAGCAATTTTTGTTTATTAAAAAGAATAGTACTGATAACAGTATAACTGCAAATAAAAAAATACAAATAAAATTATTGACTAACATGATCTGTATAAATAACCTTTAGTCAATATAAAATTGGATTAGACAAATCAATCCCAGATTAATATGAAGCCTTTCACCTTGTCTTTTTCAGAATAAGATTAATTAAAATATTGATGGTTATCATTGTTACATTAACAATGCACTGCTGAAAATTAGATGAGGATTTATCCTTTCATTTTAGTCTATCAGACCTTTGAGATTTCCAGATTTTAATGTTTTAGAATGTATAAATTATTGATATCATAGCTTGATAGGACATTGCACCATTTCTTAAATGCAATTGTACTGGGTTATTCAACGATAGCAGAATTATTTTATCTTTTATTTCAGAACTACCATATAGAAATCATGACTTACTATGAAATATATTGCCAGATGTTGCTTCTGCAGCTAAACTGTTATGTATAAATATGAGTGCTAAACACAGAACTTTTTAGTACTGCAAAACTATATATGATGTGTCATGTTATCGGAATAAGGAAACTATTATGCTAGATAGAAGTGCAGTTATACTGTACAGTTACTATATGATTTCTATAATGCTTTTCTCATTGTTTTGTTCACTTTTCTTTGAAGGTTTTCGAATGAGTGGATCATGAGGAACATACTTTAGGGACTTGCCATAGTATGGCTGCTTCTCGATCTACTCGTGTTACAAGATCAACAGTGGGGTTAAATGGTTTGGATGAAAACTTTTGTGGCCGAACGTTAAGAAACCGTAGCATAGCTCATCCAGAGGAGGTTCCTTCTCTTCCACAAGTAAGATCAAGATCACCAAAGAAGAAATCAGAATCTCTGCAAACACAGAAGGGAAATAGTAATGGGAAAGCTAATGATGTCAAGCAGCAGAGTTCTAAAGAATCATGGGTAAGCCCTAGAAAGAGAGGCCTCTCAACTTCAGAAAAGGATAATGCTGAGAAACAAATTGTAGAAAATTGTGAGAAGAAACAAGTGGAACCTCTTTCACCAGTTTTAAAGCGTAAGCGTTGTTTACGTTCAGAGCCGCAACATAGTTCAGAAGAAGTGCTACCTTCTAAAACAGGGAAAGATCGGTTGGAACATAAAAATTCAGTATCAGACAATGTCACGGTCAATCCAGGGCCTAAACGAGCTTGCCGATGTCTTATTTTGGACGATAGTGATAAAAGGGAGGTTAAAAAGGTAACTGTTTGTGCAGAAAAATTAAATCATTCTTCAGTAACCGAAGAACTCATAACTTGTCAATCTGTCAATGGGGTTAATGGGAATGGTTCAAGTGCTACAAAGTGTGGTGACTGTCCACTGGATGGAGCCAGTGCACAGAATAATGCTGATTCCTGTTCATCTGAGGAAAAAAGTATAGCAAAAAATGGAAATACATCATTTTTTCATAGCAGAAATAAGGAGGACAGTTTTATAGACCACAGTGTGCCTTGCACAAATTCACAAGAACAGTTAACCTGCGAGGACCATAAACAAGTAAAGAACTGTTTATCTGAGGAAACTGTTAACCAGATACATGAGTCAGGTACGGGTACGGGGTCCTTTTATGAAACCCAGTCATCTTTGCTAAGGGATTCTGAAGAGGAAGTAGATGTGGTAGGTTATAGCACTGCCACAAAAGAGCAATCTGAAAACACCAACAGCAACCTGGAAAGTTACGATAATGCAACTGCTTCAAATGAACCCGAACCACCGGTTTTGGACTGTGTTTCAGCTCCAATTTCATCAACCTCAGAATCTCAAGAACATAGATACACTTTGAGAACATCACCATGGAGGGCAGGCTCAACAAAAAATAGCCCTATTAAACATAACTCTCCATGTAAAGAGAATGGACAGTTTGAGGAGAACAGTCATACTGTTCCTGAAAAGAATGTAGAATCAAATGTTACCAATATCAATGGATCTTGTGCAAACACAGAAATTGCTCCAAGTGAAAGGGAAAGTTACTGTGATTCCAGAGAACACCCAAAGGAAGGACTAAGTAAATCAACTTCAGAAAATAGACTTGTTACTCCACCCCTGCCATCTGCCAAAGAAAGTGCCAGTCTTCATTCTGTAGAAGAAGAGGAAGAAGAACCCGATGTGTATTACTTTGAATCAGATCATGTGGCATTGAAACACAACAAAGAGTATGTGTAAATATGGTTACCATGGATTCTGCTTTTTTTTTTTTTTTGTTAATCAGATTTCTAGTTTTCAAAATTTCTAGGACTAATTTTTTAAAACTGCTTTTTTATAAGACATTTAAATTTTATCTAGTGCAAAGTAGCAATTTTTAATCTATCATCATAGTTAAGGAGCTTTATGTGAATCTGGTTTAATATAAATTTTGTAGCAGGAAATTCTTTTTAAAGGGCACTTTCCTGTTTGGAGATTTATTTGGAAATAGACTTTGTACACCACAAGTTTCATTTTAACATTTTAATGTTTTTTTAATTTAATATAGAAACATATTTTAGAAACCCATCTATTATCTTACACATTTATTTGATTAATAAAATCTTTCAATTTGTGAATTAGGAGTAATGTAGATCAGCTGTACAAATATAATGTCATATTGATAGGTGCAGACCGGAAAGCATTGATTATTAAATTGAGCTCATTCTTGCTCCAATTTTGTTATTTGGTGCACAGGCTCTAGATCAGTAATGCAGATAGATATATGAAGTTGGTCTAGAAGGAAAATTATTTTTCCTTAATTAGTTAACCTCTGTAAAAGATATTGAAGTGACAGGAGTTCAACCTTTTCTACTTCCTAATTCTTTTATTGAAAAAACAAATTAGTCACACTCATGCTCACCTTGATGCCACTGTGTTAGTAACTGTGTTAGTAACAAGTGAATGTGGCTATTAACACTCACACTCATCTTTGGGACTACTTTGTATGGTAGGAAAGGCAAAATGATTTTTAGAATTTATGATTGTACTAGTTTAATTCTGCAGTTTACATATGTAATCCAAGACCATGTTTATCTAGCAAGAAACAAGTTTATATTAAATTCTGTAATTCAGATATGTTTAAAGTTATAATTATTCTTATATAAGTGTTACTACTATTGAGCAGTTTACAAGATTTTAAATAGATAAGGCAACGGTTATCAGCTGAGAGATCCACTCACCAGAGGGCTGGTGAGTGATTGATTTTAAAAGCAAAAATTCATTTTAACACTTAAATTGAAGCAAACATCCTAAAAGTCATGCTATCAAATCACTTTTTTTTGCCTTTCGGGCTGTAAATTTGGTTGAAAATTTGTGCATTTTGTCTTGGCTTTGAAAAGGAAAGATGCAGATTGTTTTTATATTTAGAACAAGATCATTTAGGAAAGTCTCAGTATTATTTCAAAAACGTGTTTTATATAAAATATATGTTTTTATATTACATATTGATTTTATCTTTTAAAGTCTGAAACATTTTTGGCTTGTGATTTTAACCCAACATATTCAGTAGAAAAAATTTATGATGGTTTGAATTTATAGTTTAAGTTATGTTCAGTCAAGTTTAAGTTAAGATTTAGTTAACCACTTGGTGAAAACCATGTACTGCTTTTATTTCCAAGTGAAAGACTGCTTTTTTTGTATCAGTACTATTTTAATAGATAATAGATAATGTTGATCAACTGCATGAATAACTCTTTTCTAAAAAGAAATTCATGATTTAGTCAAGCAATTTCATTTGGCGCTTGCTGAACCGGCAACTAAAATTGAAGAGTGGTTTCAATTTGAAAAGTTGCCTTGGACTTGCATAGATTGATTATTATATTATTTGAATATATTTTCAGCACACTTGAAAGCAGATGAGTGTTTATTGTTCATAGGTACAAGAATATCACAGCTGTGACTGATTTGCAGAAAACTGTTAAATGCTTGAGAAGAAAAAAATAGTTCTTTCAATGACCAAATCAACAAACCATCTAATTTCTGATCCTTGAGAAGAACATAGATGAAAAATTGTATGAAAACTGCAATTATTGGTAAATGTCAACAGCATTGATTTGATACTACATTTTCTTTTCAGGATAATTTCAAATATGCAATTTCTTTTTCTCTCCCACCCTATCCTGGAAAATCTTCTCTGGAATTACTTCTGTAGGCCAGAAATCATTTTTAATTTCATAAACTAATTAAAATTACTTCATGGGAATTCATTAAAATTAGGTGCCTGACTACATTACCACATACGACCTAATCGCTATGAGGAATTGTATTCTGTTGCTTTTTCCTACTTGCTGCAGATATGTCTCAATTCCTTTTCCAGTGTTGTATTTACACCATATTAAGTTTATATCACATTTCTAACTTTGAATTAGTCTGTTTGAGATAAATTATAGTGTCAAATTGGCACAGCTGTGCAGTGCATTGGTTTTTATTTTTTTCTAAAACAATAATTTAGGGAAGAGGAAGATAAAAGAAATTAAAAACCTATGAATCAGGGTTACAGAATCAAGGACATTATCATTCTGTTTGCCTGATCATGATTAACTGCATTTATTTAGTATTCTAGCTTATCATGCCCAAGCAAGTTGGAATCATAGATCAGTTTTTGCTTTGAAGTTTTGAATAAACCAGAAGCCTGTGTTTATATATAAGGCAAAACAAACTATAAACATAACCATCTGAGTTTGATTAGTTGCTTAGGCTGTCAGGTACAGAGAAGTCAGGATGATCAAATAGTGTACACAAGAGTCTTGCTTCTTCATGATAAGCCATGCTTCTGAAACAAATATGATCTCTATAACCTTTTCATTTAGCCACTCTTGGGTTAGGTTTTGCTGTAACTTGGATTTTAGCAGATTTTATCTGAATTTTTAAAATTTACCAGATAACCCAATGACTATATGCTCATACGCAATTTCACAGCAGAATATGCAAGAATAATTCTCAGGGAAATTAAATACTGATATTTCCTTTAGGAAATGGACTGTATCTTGCCTATAATTCAGCAATTTTACACTACAAGTAGTTTTCGGCTTATGAGCAGTCGCTTACGACAATTCAAAGTTATGATGGACTTCCCAAGAACTACTTATGACCTGGTTTTGATGTTTTGACCACCACCCTTATCACCTGCAGCCACGTGATTGTATTTTGGCTGTTTTACAACTGGCCTAGTGTGTGGCTGTTTGCAGCCTCCTGTGGTCACATGACCATGGTTTTTCTTAATATCTTTTTATTATTTTGTAAGCCACTCAGTCACTTCAGCAGTGAGATGGGTAGCATATAAAATAAATAAATTTGCAAGCTTTTTTTGCAGTTGGTGCTTACTTCTGATTTCTGGCAAAAAAAAGCCTGTTGCCTAAAATTTGCTTAATAACTGTGGCATTCGCTTAGCAACCACAATATTTCTTTAATGACCACCACAAAAACTCGTAAAATGAAGTGTGGTCAAATGGCAACCTGTTTAGTGACCAGCATGACTTACAGCTGTAATTGTAGACTTGATTTTAGTCATAAATGGAGGACTACCTGCATATGTTATGTAAACAGCTGTTGCATGAGGGTCCACACCATTTATAGTAACAGTTAGCAGTTCTTTTTTAAAAAGTATTGTGAAAAAATATCCATTTGAACAGATGAAGATAAATTGGTGCACTGCAGTTTCTTTGGATTCCAACATCTATAAACTGAAACTAATAAAGGAGTATGAAATTGTAGATGAAAACTTGGCACATGTGACATGTCTTTACTCTAGAGTATGGCAATGTGTGGCAATATGTATTCTGGGATTAATTTCTTGCCTCAGTGTTTGGGGATGATGAGAGTTCAACAATGCTTGAGGTGCCACAGTTTGTCCACACTTTGTTTAGAATTTCCAGAGAGGTGTTTTTTTTTTTTTTTACATCTTTTAAATTGTAATTCAGCATTAGAATAAACTCATACATTTTGGTCATATACTATATTCAATTTTGAATCATAATATCTTTCCTGGTTTCTAGGGAATTTTGTCTGAGAAAAATACAGTAGCTAGAAAAAGTCAACATTTGTTATTTAAATAAGGAAAGGTTCACTATAGATCTGACTTAGATTTCAAAGTAATATTATGAAGAAATACAAGCGCTCTTTTTTCTAGTTTACTATTAGCATTCTTTTCAGGATTTCTATTTTGTTATCACAGACAGAAAATTAAAATAATAGAGAACATAGTTGGAAGAGAAATCTGATAACATATTGGGCATCGGCAGCTTGGCACATTCTTTGAATATTTACATAAGGGAGTCAAGAGTGTCAGTTAATTGAGAAAATAACTTTACCTGGGAAAATAAAATATTGTGTTTCCTCAAAAATAAGACTGGGTCTTACTTTAACTTTTGCTCCAAAAGACACATTAGGGCTTATTTTTCAGTGAGCGCTTATTTTGGAGGAAATACGGTACTAAATGAATCTGTCTGGCTCAGGGGTCTGCAAATTTAAACACTCAAAGAGCCATTTGGACCCGTTTCCCATAGAAAACAAAACACCAGGAGCCAATAATTTAACAATTGGTGTGACTAGGTGGGTGTGGCCAACTCAACATCACTCACTCCCACTCAGTCACCTCCTGCTCTGTAATATGGAGTGAGTCTCCATCCCCCACCATCGCTCTTCTCAGGCCAGGCAAGGAGTGATGGGGAGGGGAGGGGCCAGCCAGTGATGGGATCAGCTGACAGGGAGCCGCAGCAGAGGCCCGAAAGAGCCACAGGTTGCAGAGCCCTGGTCTAGCTGATGATCTTAACTGGGGCTTAATTTTTGGGTAGGGCTTATACTATGAACATCCTGAAAAATCATACTAAGGCGTATTTTCTGATTGGGTACTATTTTCAGGGAAACATGTTAAAAACATTCAATACTGCCCTTAGTGTAGCTTAGGGTTTTTTATATTTTGTGTATCGTTTTACTATGTAGCTTGATTATATTTTATGTTTGTGTTATATCTGAATTGCAGAATTTTGTTCCATATTGCAGAAGAAAAATAATTATATGAATAAAGATAATGCCTGAAACCTACATGAGCAGAGCAACTATTAATCTGAGCAATCCTGGAAAAAAAAAGATTTGGCTGTCTGCAAACAGTTTGAAAACCTATAAAACAACAGTTTTTTTAAGCAAACCAAAGGCTCATGTGGGATCAAATGCACTTTTTCAAAATCATTTTCACAATGTGTGCTCTACTTTATAGTTTATATTTATTTTTATTTGGATTGCTTCTCTAAGATACTTACATTTTTAAATTAAGTGTTTTTTGGTTTTTAAATTTTAGTATAAAGGTTTATAATGTCATTGTGCAATATGCAATGAAACGTGTAATACCTTTAATTAGTTGCATGAAAAAGTTTGAGTAATCCGCTGTATATATTTCTATGAATTCCTAAATGAATGGAAGTTAGCATAACCTTTATTCTTTTTTGTCAAACATAAATTGAGCATGATATCTTTCTGTAAATTTGAATATGCATGTACTATTTAAATGTCAAATTTACAGATGTTAAGATAACGAAAGCAGTGAATAAAACTGGTGTAGAAGTTTGGGTGTTCTTTCAGTTGATTCATTGCTCTTTTTTAATTGTGAAGTTCTTAATAAAGCCCCAAAGGATGATTAGCCTTCAATTAGCTTTGTGAAGAAGTTCCATTGGTGAGAAAATATTCTGATTTTACAACTGCTCAGATTGTGATAGTTTTGTCTTTTTGCAACAATAAGGAGCCTCTTTCTGCTTCAGTAACTGTCAAGTATTGGAAATGAAGATACTCTTACAAAGCAGAAAAAGACTATTTAAAGAAATCCAATCTTAAACAGCAATTCCAATGCAAAAGCATGGCTAAGAAATACAAGTTATTTGGAATTGCTGAGACGATCTGGGTGACAAAAATCTCTGTTAAAACCATCCTCAGATTTACAAAACAGTTCACTGCAGGTCTTCAAAAAATTGATTTGTTAACATTGATAATATATGTAACTTAACAATGTTAACAGATTGTGATGCAGTTATTTTGACAGTTCAGAGTGTAAAAATAATAATTAGGTATTGTTACCTTAAGTTACTTTCCAATGTCAGAACAAATAGGGTAAAGACAAATCCAATCAGTGTCAGGAAGTGGGTTGGATTTTATTTGTTTGTTTGTTTGTAACATTTATTGGCTACCCATTTTACCTTAAGGTAACTTGGCAGCGAACAAAATATCTATGCACTATAACAATGTGGGAAAAAAGATTTTCAAAAGAAATCAAACATACTGCTTTTTGCAGTTTGTCACTGAACAGTTATTGTTAGGTTATGTGATGAGCTGATGTCTATGATTGAAAATTCTTGTGTTAATGCATAATTTTTATTGAATATCCTGTTTGATAACTTCAGTTTTAGTAATATGAAATTTTTGTTTTAAGTTCCACAATATTTTTTCTGATCAATTAGACATTATCCGATTTATTAATTTCTGAGTAGAATTCATTATCTCAGGCTGTTTACTTTAATAATAAGTTTGTGTTCATCTGTGTACCTATAAATCTGATAAAGAATGAAAAATAATTTTATGCAAAAAATTTAAAATATAACATTCTGCTAATGATAGCAGCACTGGAACTTCTATGTGATATAAAGTATTTCTTCATCATAAGGCACTTGCTCTAATCTACCATAAAAGCCCTGTAATTTATAATCAGTTCAAAATTGTGCATATTTTATTCTCAGGTTTTGTCTTAAAATGTAACTCTCTATTGTGATTGGTTTTGAGAATATAAAAAGGTAATGGTTTGCCCTGTCCAGTCGTGTGTGACTCAAGGGGACAGTGCTCATCTCAGTTTCTTAGTCGAGGAAGCCAGCATTGTCCAAAGATACTTCCATGGTCATAGGCCCAGCACGATTATACACCAAGCATGCAACCTTCAATTGCAGTAAGGAAATTCTGCCATGCATTCAGTTAAGGTATCAGTCAACAAAACCAAGATGTTCATGATTTCAGGTTGCTGTGTTTCCCTGAAAATAGGTCTTATTTTCTTTTGGGCTTGAAAATAAGCACTTGGGCTTATTTGGGGGGAAGTCTTTTTTTTTTTAAGTGCAGGAGGTGGCAAATACAGGGGCTGACAGGAGTGGGAGCACAGTTACCACTGGCCCCACCCCCTCCATCCCACTATCTGCTTGCCCATGGCTGCAATGGGCTAAGCTCTGGCATGCCTCAGCCTTCTTGGTACAGTGCAAATACCATTAATTCGGAGTGGGAAGGCAGAAGTGGGGAAGAAGGCAATCAGGACGTGTTGCCTGGCTCACAGGAGGCTCGTGGGAGACTTGTGCAGTGGCACTGGCAGGAGGCAGAGGCAAGGGGGAAGACACATAATCCAGACGTGCTGCACATCCCTGGCTCGTGGGATGCTTGTGCAGCTCCAATGGCAGCAGGCGGAGGCAGAGACAGGATCTCCTGTCTCCTCCCCCTGTGCCTCTGCCTCCATCTGCTGGTGGTGGTGCCACACAAGTCTCCCATGAGCCAGGCGGCCACACAGCACGTCCAGATCACCTCTCTATTCCCACCCCCCTCCGATGCCTCTGCCTCTGCGCTCAGACTCATAACTATCTGCTCTGCACCCAGCGGTCGGTGGGACATGTCCCTCCTCCCCGGGCTTATTTTCGGGGTAGGGCTTATATTAGGTCCACCCCAAAAATCAGGCTATGGCTTGTTTTCAGAATAAGTCTCATTTTCGGGGAAACGGTACAAATCAATTTTATGTTATATGTGATTGTCAAGAATATGACTTGTTGCTTAAATTATACTCATATTGCTGATACAGTCACTGATTCTAAACACTTCATGTATCTGGTTCTTCATTTTACGAACGCAGACTGGTCTACTTCTAAACAACTAAAGAAATCAGTATATCCATTTATAATTAAAGTAGCATTATACTATGTTTATTAAGAGCCTTGGTGGCGCAGTGGTTAGAGTGCAGTACTGCAGGCTATTTCTGCTGCAGCCAGCCGCCTGCAATTTGGCAGATCGAATCTCACCAGGCTCAAGGTTGACTCAGCCTTCCATCCTTCTGAGGTGGGTAAAATGAGGACCCAAATTGTTGGGGGCAATATGCTGACTCTGTAAACTGTTTAGAGAGAGCTCTAAAGCACTATAAAGCGGTATATAAGTCTAAGTGCTATTGTTATTGCTATTTGTTGCAACATATGTACAATAGTGCCATGAGACCCAAATAATTTACCTGACAGTTTACATGTATTTCCAGTTTTTCTTCTTTAGGACAGTATTTATTGTATTTATGTATGAAAGACAGGAAGAAGCTGAAAGAGGTATAAGCCTTTGAAAGACATTGAAAACATTCACTGTAATGTTGATTTTTATAAAGGATTCCCACAAATATTTATTAAATGTAAGAGAATCCCTAAACTCTTTAATATAACTTCACTGCCATCCAGAAACAAGATGTTTAGGTATAGAGCTTGAAATACATTTATTAATATTTTATGTAACTGGAAGTTGAGCTAAAATTACTGTGGGGTCCTTGGTAGTCTTTGAGCTTAGTTGTTCTCTTGCAAATGTTTCATTACCTAACTAGATAACATCATCAATGCCAGAAGGGAGTGGGATTTGTAAATATTTACAAGAGAATAACCAAGCTCAGAGATCACCAAGGACTTCAAAGTTTAAGCCTGAACTACAAGTACTCTCTTCTATTGCTAAAATTACTTTATTGACTGAGCATTAGAATGTTCTCTGCAATAATTATTTCAGTAGTCTCTAGAATTAAATATTTGATTGACTTGACCCAATTACATGTTTTATATTAATTTATAGAGACATCTTTCTAAGCATGCACTTACACAATATTCTTTCTCCAAAGAAGCTTGCCTCAGTTGCCATCTTTTAGGAAATAGTGGTATATTGAAATAATATATTCAGCTTCAAAATATTAAGCAATTTGTTTCTTTATTATTGAGTACTTGCATTTGGGCAATATTTTGCACAATCAAAATTTGGGTTGATCTTAAAAAGTTTTCATTCTTCACATACCTCTGGGTTAATTTATCTAGTTAATTTACTTCCCGGGTATTTAAAAAGATACCAACATCGGAGTGTAATGTAGTTTAATACTCCTCCCCCAACTTGGTCCTCTCTAGTTGTTTATGAATTATAATGTTCATCCTGTTTTTTTATATTGGAGTTATAACCAAACCTTCAGAGATGATATATGTATTTCATTCTTCAAGCATTTTTAGAAGGCATGCAATGAAGTTTAAAATTATCTTAAGCAATATTTATAAATGTATTAGTTGCACTTTTCTGTTGTGTAAATATCAGACTGATACTGATTCAGGATATTGGAGTTGTTTGATGGCGGCAGGTGTTTTGGTGGTACAGTATAGGTAGCTAGAAGCTTAATCTGAAGTTACAAAAAGCTTATTCTGTGCAGCATCTAGTTTTTTGTACCTGCAACATTTGTTGATTTTCAAAAATGTTGCTTGCACTACTATTGTTGAATATTAAAGAATTTCTGACTTTAAAAAAATACTTGTAATATTCATGGTTCTGTTAATATATTTTGCTTGAGTCTATCAGATAAATGTGCTGGGTGCTAAGGTTTTATTTTTGCTTTCATTTCTACTCCCAGTTTGGTTTGTTTGTGCATAGAAGTCTATAGTGAGCTGTTTCCCTTTATCTCTGTAGTTATCAGAGACTGTTACAAACGATTGCAGTACTCGAGGCTCAGCGCACTCAAGCAGTCCAAGATCTTGAGAGTTTAGGCAGACATCAGAGAGAAGCACTGAAAGATCCCATTGGATTTGTGGAAAGTCTCCAGAAGAAGGTATAACAGTGGGAATCTTCTCATAAGTGATGTTTGAGAACTGATACTTCATCTCCTGCAGTTAGTGAGACTCAATAGTAATAGTAGGAGAGTTGGTGATCTCTGCTGAGGACCCCTTGAATCTATTGTTCTAAAATCATTTCTCCAAAGCTGTGTTTATTTAAAATTGAATTAGTCATTTGTTCATAAAATTGGATGAATAATGGTGGCAACAATTTTTTTCTGCCTTCAGTATTTTTTGTATTCAGTATTGTACCAATGTTCTTGCTTCATTACATTACCGGGAACTAACAGCTAAATATGTCATTGGTAATTTTATCAGTTTATTGATTTTGTGAATGTATTTTATTAAAGAACAATAATAAAGCAAATGTACTTAAAGGGATGTACTTAAAGTAAATGTACTTAAAGGGATATATATATATATATATTGAACATTGTTCAGCTTTAGGTTTTTTGTTTCTATTTTTTGGTCTCTTTGTAACCGCTCAGGATATAATTGTTCAAAAACTTAAGTGAACCAATAATTTAATGAAAAAAGTCAACAAATGGTGAGGAAATTTTAAGCATCTGTTTATAACAATTTTAACTGAGCCATCATTTTCTGCTTCTTCTATATTTTATGTACCGTGCTTTTATTACTCTTGGAAGAATTCCTTAAATGTATGGCAGTATAGTAATACAGAGCTCGAGATGTAGCATTGCCTTAACATTGGTCCAAGTATATGTAACCTTATATCATATTACTTGGTGGTTTTTCTGTGTAAATTTTTCACCTTTTTTTTTCCACCTGTCAGGTTGATGTAGGGCTTCCATTTCCACAAAGAGTTGTCAAGCTGCCAGAGATATCCTGGGACCAATATACCACAAGCCTTGGGAATTTTGAAAGAGAATTCAGAAACCGAAAGCGTAACAGTAGACGAGCCAAGCTTATTTTTGATAAAGGTAAGTATAAAATGATGGTGCTTTACAGAAGAAAAGTCAACTGCACTATATTAATTCTTTTTTTTTTTTTTTGGTAGGTTTACCTACAAGACCAAAAAGCCCTTTGGATCCAAGAAAGGATGGAGAGGCTACTTCATACTCCGTTTTGCCTTTCAGTGATTGTCCAGAAGCTTCAATGAACAACCGTCCACAAGTAAATATGAACAGAACTAAAGTAATGCCCATATTTTCCAAAGAAGCTCTTTGAAAAGTGTAGATAATTTTATTTGAAAGAATTGTAGACTTTCCCTTTTGATCAAATTATTCTTAAACATCAGACGAATGCTACAATGCCTTATTCACTTGTCAAAGCCACAATATCCACTTCCCATTAGGTCAGTAGATGATGGTTAGGTCAATATATCATAATGTATGGACTATAAGAAACACTGGAAATAAGACGCACCTTGGTTTAGAGGAGGAAAACAAGAAAAAAATAGCTTTTTGCCTCCATGAATCCCATTTTTGCCCTCCCCAGCATCCAGAAGCACTCTGCAGATCAAAAACAAGTCCAGTTTTCAGCCACCCCAGGATCCAGAAGCACTCTGCCAGCCACAAACGTGTCCATTTTTGGCCTACCAAGCCCTCCGCGTGCCCCATTTTTGCCCTCCCCGGCGCCCAGAAGCACTCAACATGGGCATATTTTTGGCCTCCGGACACTTCCTCGGATCCCGTTTTCGGCCTCCCCAGCATCCAGAAGCACTCAAGGCCAAAAATGTGCCCGTATTCCTGTTTTCTGCCTCCCGGTGTTTTTGGCCAGGAGAGTGCTTCTGGATGCATGGGAGGGCAAAAATGGGATGTGTGGAGGGTTTTGGGAGGCCAAAAATGGGCCTGTATTCGCTCTATGAGACACACAGACATTTCCACCCACTTTTGGGAGGTGGGGGAGAAAGTGCATCTTATAGTCTGAAAAATACGATATGCTTTTATCTCTGCATGGTCTTTAGTTTTGTTAGTGAATTACCAGTTACTGTTTGCAGGTCTGCTGTTCTTCCTTTTTTGGTCAGTAAATGAAGCCAGGTTTTCCTGCTTGAAAGGCAAGGAATGCAACCATCTAGTAATTTACCATTCTCTGCTCAGTAGTACAAACCAGACAGTATTTTCCTTCAAAATGTGCTATTTTGGTTATGGTGTCAGACTGGGACTAGAAAACCTCAATCTAATCAACTTTGTGGTCATTGCTCAGCTATGACGTTTATGTATAACTTGACTCTATAGTAGCGAATGAGGACCAAAGACTTTAAAAATCTCTCCATATCAGAAACGGAGGACAAAAAGTATTTTTTGGGGAGGGGGGAAACAGCTGGTGGTTGGCTGTTACAAGTTTGGTTATGATTAATAGTAATTGATGAAGAGCAAAGAGTTGCTAGTTCAGCTCCAGTAGAAAGAATGGGTTTTGTGGTTGCTATCAGTAGAATTTTTAGTTTTGATATACTGTGGTGCGATTATTTTGGTAACGCTATGATAACCCTTTTTATTTGACTGAAATTCAGTTATGCATATTTTCTAAATTCCTTTCTTGTTATGTACTGTATTTCAGCAGATGATAAGGGGGCGACTTTGTGATGAGACCAAACCTGAATCTTTTAATCAGCTGTGGACAGTAGAAGAACAGGTAATGTAATAACTGTAATTTTAAAGTGAGATTATCCTATAGTATTAATCTTGTTTTTCTATTTTGTCTCTATTCCTCTTTCCTAAGGAGGACTAGAGATTTTTTTGTGTGTGAAAAATCAAATTGTATTCACAATTATCATTGTTCATCATTACAGAAAAAACTTGAACAATTACTTTTGAAGTATCCTCCAGAGGAAGTAGAATCTCGGCGATGGCAAAAAATTGCAGATGAGTTGGGTAATAGAACTGCAAAGCAGGTAATGAACTGCATTATTGTTAATTTTTAGCCAACTAATAAATAGTTTCTTTTATTTGGTAAAACAGATTTTTAAAACAATTTTTTTTAAATTGTGTTTGTTCTAAGCGAATATAGTTAAAATACAATAGATGGCTTTCCATATATGTCATTCCCCTCATTCCACCTCCAAAGCCTGAGAAAAAAGCCAATGGTTTTTACTGCCTTTCTGAAGGCCAACAAGGTTGGGCCAAGCCACTTACATATCAGGTTTGGAGGTAGTGATCATTCTACAAGGCAGATGCCAAAATGTGAAAGACATATCTCCTGGGTCCCAATCAAATGGCATTGTTTTAAAGAAGTGTACCTGCCTGTTAGAATGTGTGGGGCAGGCAGATATCATTGGGTAGAGGCAGTTCTGCAAATAACAGTCATGTTTATAGATGGTATCCAGCACCTTGAACATCCAAAAGCTTAAAGGAAGCCAATTTACCTAGCTACATAATGATGTTACATGGGCATATGCCCATAACTACCCAGGGTGCTGCATTTTTTGCCCATCCGTTGGCTTCCAGATGGCTTTCAAGGACAATCCAGGTATAGCACATATAAGGCAGGAAGTGACTAGGGCAAAGAGATCCAGATATGTCTTGCATACAAGACAAATTTGTGCAAATATCTTTCTGCCACAGCTGCCACCTGCTCTTCAAGCAAGAACTGAGAGTCCAAGAGGATCCTAAATTTGTGCATTAAGTCTGAGCAGGGGAGTTCAACCCTAAAGCTAAAATAGAAAGTTTCCCATTCTGGGATCCAACATCCAAAACCACCCAGTTTGGCAGAGTTGAGTCAAAGACTTTTCCGATCTTGATCTCCACAACTTCCAAATACTGGGACAGAACCTTGACAGCCTCAATTGATTGGCTGAAGGACAGAGATACATGGTCCCATGCTGACAAATAACCTTCCTTAATAGCCTCATTAAATCTTAAAAAGAAAAATGAATTAGTGAAATAAGGATATGTATTTTTTTTAAAGGTGAATATCCAATCTATATCAAGAGACATTGCTTCATACGGGACAGCTTTTGTAACATATGCCATCCTGTTGTTCCGTAGTAGACTCCTTTGCTAAAGTTATCTCGGGAGTAATGCTACAGAACTGAGAACATTTTGTGATGTGTGATTGGTTGGGAAATAGCATATATTAAATTAAATAAATATTTTTAATATCTCTTAGTTCAGATTACATTCTAAGTTTGCAAAAGGCACTTTTATTCTAAATACACCAAGAAAAATACTTTATCCTAATTGAAAATTGAGAATTTTTTAATGAAAAAAATGATGAGAGATTGAAGACGAGAGTGGAGAGTCTTAGGAGTGGAATCGAGTGCATTGCTCTTATCTTTTCATAATATAGAAAACAGTGTGGTAGCAGGAGGAGTCATTCATATTTTTTTAAATTAAGTCTTAGTGTACATTTAGTGTTTGAGAATTATATCTTTATATATTTTCTAATAGTTTCCCCCCTCCCCCTTTCTTTAGGTTGCCAGCAGAGTGCAGAAATACTTCATAAAACTGACTAAAGCTGGTATTCCAGTTCCAGGAAGAACACCAAACTTGTATTTATACTCTAAAAAGGTAAATCACAAGACTTTGGATTAATTCTTGAGACTTCCTTCAGTCCATAATAAGAGCCATTGCTCATGAAACCATCCAGTGATGCAAACAAATAATAATAATTTCTTTTTTTTAGTGACAGTTAATGTGATAACTGGGTTTCCAAAGAAAAAATAAAATAAAAAATGCCTCTTTGCCGAGCCCATTTTATTTAGCTCTATATTCTCATCATATATTCCTTTTCTTTCTTTCTATTTGCTGGTATAAGGGGGTAGGGTTTCAGGCTCACTACATTCTTAAAGTGGGAGGAGTGGTTAGATAGTGAGGATTGTTTTGGCTAGGTGACTTTCCTTCCCATGGGAACAGAAACTGTCCCTCCCGAGACCTGGAGGTGAAGATTGAAGATACCAGGCAAGGTTGATTTAATTCTATTGAGGAATGTAATTTTTGTAGGTTGTTTCTAATTTACAATATTATATGATGTAATTCTGGTTTGTGTCAGGTCCAGAATTACAACAGACTTTGCCAATTTGATGCTTACCTAAATAAAAGAAATTTGTTTTGGAAGAGGGACTTTGCTGATTTCTTTTTGAATGGGTTTCATCACTTGGAAACCTGACATTATTCCGTATCTCTACAACCTAATCCCGAGTAGGGATTGCTATTCAGAGTCTTGAGCCCTGGCTGTTTACCCAGAGCATTGGGCAATAGCAAAGACTCAGGGAAGATGGCAGAAGGGTGGAAACCAGGGGTTTCTCTATGCCTTTATTGCTATGCTTAGAATTGCCTCCGTGCTAAGTGTAAAGTCTTTAAAAACTCAAAGTGGCCTGCCAGTTTGGCGTTGTGGCTCCTCTGGAGGACTAGTGTGTGGTGGGATTCTGGGATGTAGAGTTTTGTCCCCTTCCACGCTAGGTCATCTCTTTTTTTCAAGATGTGTTGATTGTCCCGGAACCAGGGGTCTGCTAGTAGTTCGCTTTTGAGTTTCGTTGGTTAGGTCACTTGTGGATTGGTCTTGCCAGTCACGGCGTTGTCGTCTGCTGGTTACTTGGGCAGCTATTTGGGCTGGGGGGATGATGGCATTTATGACCTCCTCCCATTCGCATTTGTACTGGGGCATACGGGAGAGGGCGTCAGCCAGAAAGTTCCTCCCCCCAGGATGTGTTTACTCCTAAAAGCTTGATTGTGAATGTTTTGCATGGCCTTGATCTAAATAATTATGGGTTCTTGCTATCTAATTGGGCAAGCATATTAAAGGAAGTAGCTTCTTATCAGGTTTCTGTAAATACATCTACAGAGCCTGATTAATCTTAAGATTGCCATCAGGTGTTTTTTTTAATGCTACCATGAAACTTAAGTCCATATATTCCTTTGTTCTGAAATATCCTTGTTTTTATAATATTGAAAGTAATGGGAATTTCTCAGCACTTTTGCCATCTGAGTGCAGATGAGATGTAATTATACCTCATTCCAAGTGACAGAACTCCTTTGTGAAAGCAACTATCCATCTATACTACGGATATCTATCTATGTGACTTTTCTTGATCTCAGATTTCCATAAATATGTAAGATCTCTGGGAGTTAGACATTTGAGTGACTTCCAAACACATTGACTAACTCTCAAGATTCTTAGCAATAGCCATACTTGCTAGGAAAATTTGGAAGTTCCTGGAGCAGGTGACCCTCATTTATGGGCAGTAATTGTTTTGACTACCATCTTGTTCTCCTGTTGTAATCAATTGCTAAACCTGATTTGGAGATATATTTCTAGGAGAGGATTCAGAGCAGAGGAAGAGGTATTTATGAGACTGTGGGCTAGGTTTTCTTTCTAAAAGAAGCTACACTCTTCATCTGGTTGCTTCATTAAATCAACCCATATATTTTTACCACAATCATTCTTCCTACAATTATTTTCTTGCATTTTCTCTCCAGCAATTAGTTATGAGCTATATGCAGATTCAACACTCTACAGGAAAGCGAAGGCAAATTTATTGTGTGCCCGTGTATGACTAATTGTGCAGACTTTTCTTTAAAATGCACATGTTTTACAGGATATTAGCAGAACAGTAGCTATATGCCAAAAAGGTTTCATTACTAGCTCTGCACTATTGATTTTCTTTCTGTAGAGGACGAACAAGTAAAAAGAAACCACTTAGTCACCTGGAAAAAAAGCTTGTTTTGTTTTAAATCAATAAGCAATACAGATATAAGGGTGACAAAGTAGATATGGAGATTGAAAGGAAGGAGGAAGAGAAAGGGAAGGAAAAACAACAGCAGCACAATAACACTACCTAAAGGGAGTCTAGTGGTTGAGAAGCTTGAGTTGAGGGTTCTTGTGACTCTGTAGTAGACATTTTACTTTGTCAGAAAGTGGGCTGTGCACAAAATTCTTAAGACTTGTTGTACAAATCTGTTAATACAATTTTCCTACCCCTCTCATTTTCAGAAAGGGAGCAGACTACATTTTACAATAGCTACAAACAAGAACATGTATTTTCATGAGGTATATAACTCAAAGTTTGTTTAAGACATTTCACATTAAATTTCCCCTTACCAAAACTCATATTGTTTTCCGTTCGTTTGTCAAGTCTTCATATGGGGCTTCTTAGAAATACTTAATTAGTGCTGTTTGACTGGTTTTCCTTCATCTCATGTGTCAGTTTTGAAATTGGTCACATGGTATATAAAGTGAAAATTAGGCATTTAATGTGAAGGTTTTATTTGCCCAATAGAGGTAACAAAACCGTACATTAATCTGTTTTGGTGCATGTAATCCAATCTTATTTGCCTGGGACACTACACACCCTTTTCATGAGCTGTTTTCCTTGTTACCTTCTGGGAGGAGGCTTCATGGTATCGAAATCAGAACATTTAGATTCAGTCACAGTTTTGTGCCATATAGTATCAACTTTGTGAACTCTCAAGTTTCCTCTTCCTTCTATGTATTCAAAATGGACAGTGCTGTGTGTGTGATACAGGTATATATTTATAAAGCTTGTGTGTGTTATGTATGTGTTTGGGTAGATACACACTTTCTCTTTAGAGCAGACAACAGAATTTCATTTTTAATGTGGGCGGGTGTGCTCGCAGTAAAAAAAAAAAAGACAATAAAATTATCTTATTCTGCCTTCCTACTTGATGGTCATATGTTAGTTGTTTTTGGAGAAAATTCTATCTTTTATATTTTCATGCTACATAATACTAATTCAAATTATCATGTCTGCATCTTGAGCAAAGGATGCACTGGGAAGATTTAAATATGTGGAGGGTTAGCTGTGAAAACCTGGGTTTGATTATCTCTGCCTTTCTTCGGAAGGAGGGAGAACCAATGATTAGAAATATCCACTGTGCCAAAAGAGATTCCTTGTGAGAATTAGGTATTGAAATGCATTGTTGCAGAATATGTTGGGGTTGTTGTTGTTTTTCTTTGTGACAAGAAAAGCTTTAGCTGAAAATTAGAAATTTTTCTCTCTGTAGCAATATGTGAAGCTTCCTGTTTGAAGTGGTGCTATAAAAATTATTTACAAAATTAATTTTAAAAGTATTTACACAAACTCTTATTTTAATTGCAGTCCTCTAGTAGACGGCAACATCCTTTGAATAAACATCTCTTCAAGCCTTCAACTTTCATGACCTCCCATGAACCTCCTGTGTTTATGGATGAAGATGAAGAAAGATCCTGTTTTCACAGTCACATGGCCAATGCAGCAGAGGAAGAACCATCAGTAGGTTTTGCATTTAAACTAAATTTTAAAAATGTTATGTAAAAGTTCTATAAATTAATATAAAGGACCCAGAAATGGCTGTATAAATAAAAGGTCAGTGAACATGTATGTATGTATATATGTATGTATGTAAAACATACAACGAACGGTTGCAGGAACTGGGCTTGGCTAGTCTAGTAAAGAGAAGGACCAGGGGAGACATGATAGCGGTCTTCCAATATTTGAGGGGCTGCCACAGAGAGGAAGGGGTCAAGCTATTTTCTAAAGCGCCTGTAGGCCAGACAAGGAATAATGGATGGAAACTGAACAAGGAGAGATTTAACCTGGAAATAAGGAGAAACTTTCTGACAGTGAGAACAATCAACCAATGGAACAGCTTGCCTTTGGACGTTGTAGGAACGCCATCACTTGAGACTTTCAAGAAGAGATTGGACTGCCATTTGTCAGAAATGGTGTAGGGTCTCCCACTTGGGCGGGGGGTTGGACTAGATGACCTACAAGGTCCCTTCCAACTCTGATTATCTGTTATCTGTTAACACCTACCTGTGTCTGTTTAATGCAATAGAAACCCAAGTGGTATAGCTAGATAGATCAGAGACAGATTAAGGATAGGTAATTATTAAATATAGAATATAGATAAAGAATAAGAATATAATTATGTACAAATTAATATCTGTAAATATTGCACAAATGATTGTTATATGATAAGCACCACAAATAGCTGTTATTGAGTGATATATTTTTTGTTTTTAATGTAATAAAAATTCAATAAAGTTTATTAAAAGAAACCCAAGTGTTTCAGATTTGAAGGAGAGAAAATTAAAACAGTGCAGGTATTCCTTGATTTACAACCATTCATTTAGTGACCTTTCAAAGTTAAAGCAGCACTTTAACAATCAAATGACAACTGATTTATATTTATGACGGTTTGTTGTGCCCCAGAGTCATGTGATCATTTTTTGCAACCTGACAAGCAAAGTCAGTGGAAAAGCCAGATTTACTTAACAACTGTGGCAGGAAAGGTTGCAAAATGGGGCAAAATTCACTCAACAAATGTTTTGCTTAGCAACATACATTTGGGGCTCAGTTGTGGTTGTAAGTTGAGGACTATCTGTTGTATTCCTTTTTCAAATTAATAGAGGATGTCCCAAACAGATATATATATATAGTAGTATGCATTCTACTTGGCCAAACCTGATCAGGGAAGGGCCAGGCCAGTTTCTTCTAATTTGTCTGAGATATAGCAGACAGGTTTTTTTTTATAAGATCACACGTGCATGCATGCACGCGCACAAACACACACATGCCTTGGCCCTTCCCCCATTACAAGAAAACATAAGACAATTCCTGGTTTTAGTTTTATTTTTTTGCTATTTTACAAAGTCTTTCGGCATTTTGTTCTTCCGCTTTTAAATCTCCTGTTTCAATGTTCTGGTTTATAAGGAAACAATAAAATGTAAAAATAAAAGCTGCTTTAAAAGTTATACTAGAAGTTGTATTTCAATAGTATTTAGAATTTTGGGTCAATTTAATTCCAAATTATGTGGAACTTTGGTACTAATGCTTTTGGGGTTTTTAGGGCAATTTTAAACTATCTTGAGCTTTTTAAAACTATCTTAAACTATTTTCCAATATACCAGCCATGAGCATCATAGATTGCTATTTATTGTGGAGTTTGTTTAGCAGGTATGGTTTTTTTTTTTACTTTAATCCTGTAACTTTAAAAGTTGCAATTCTTTCTTTCTCTGAAATAGGATGAAGAAAGTATCCCTGTAGCATATCGTGAATTACCAGAATATAAAGAGCTGCTGAAATATAAAAAGCTGAGGAAGCAGAAGGTGCAGCAAATGCATGCAGAAAGTGGCTTTGTCCAGCACATTGGCTTTAAGGTTGGTAAAAATGCCCAAGGCCTCATATTTCCTCAGTTATCAAGTGGTGGTTTCCTTGGAAAATAAGATCCTACTCTGGGTTCATCATTAAGTTCCCTAAGCAACTTAGGAAGACTAAGTTAGAGTTAGGCTATTATGATTACCTTGATCTAATGGAAGATGTATTTGAGGTCTGTAAAGGTAATACACCAAATTTTTTCACATACAATTATTATGTTGTATAATCAAACTATATATATTCAAACCTGTAGTCTACCAATTGTTTGGGAGTAAACCCTACTGAAATTGCTAGGGCTTCTGAACAGATTAGTGATAAAATCCTTATGAAATTATCACCTTGAATGTTTACAAGTTATTTTAATATATTAATAGATCATCATAAGAAGTATGTAGAGGTCTTCCTTTTAAAATTTCTGAAAAGCGATGTTATACCAGAGCATCATTGCTTGGAAAGTAGTGGTATGTTTTTTTAAAAAAAATTAGGTAATTTGCTTTGTCTACCTCCCTAATCCAGTAACTTCTGATTTATTAGGCAAAATCTCATCATTCCTGGCTTTTAGCCATGATGGCTAATTGAACGTCTTAGATTTCCTTTGAAGTTTTTTGTCTTTGATAATATGGATATCTGAAAATCAGAGAAAAGAATATGCTATTTGCTTATATCACAGTGATAATTAAATTTGAATCTGAAATCACTGGCCACTCTCAGTGAAACTTAAATTAGAAGATAATAGAAACATTTTCTTTTTTTTCTTCCTTAGTCATTAAATGAATTTAATACAGGAGGAATGGGAGAGATGAAAGCAAATTTGTAGCACAGTGGAGTAAAATATAGGAATTTGCAGGGGAATGAAAAGAGGAAGAGTTTAGTTGGAGGAGGCAGAAAAAATTGTGAATGACAAAAAAATTGAAAAAGCTGAGAAGAGTCAAAACCAAGAAACTGCTTGCAAACTAAGTTTGAAATATTGACGTATAAGCTTATAGGTGGCTGTTTTGTCATAAAGTTGAGAAAGGGGGGAAACTTAAAAGGATAATAATTTTATTTTGCAGTAATGTTAGCTATGTGGTAAAAGTATTAATCTGGCAAGCTGTTTATTTTTTGGAGGGGAATCCCTAAGATCACTTTGCTAAATTTCTTTTCAGTGTGATAACTGTGGAACTGATCCAATTCAAGGCATTCGGTGGCACTGCCAAGACTGCCCTCCAGAACTGTCTTTGGATTTTTGTGATTCTTGTTCTGACTGGTAAGCAGCATGCACTGAAGATCAGGATTGACCAATAACATGACCTTTATTTTTAAATGTTCATTTTAAAACACATATTGTAGAGTTCATAACCTCTTTGGAATATATAAGGATACTTGTGATAATTTTAAATACATGTTTGTAGGGGATATAATTGTGCATATTCTTGGTGTGCATGCTTATTGGCTGAATAAATCCTAAGTTTTTGTATTAGATATATTGTGTGATGCAATCACAAGTTTGGACCTAAAAAGTAACATATTGAAGGTCCAAGGAGAAATGTACGTTGGGGGGAACTATTGCAACTTAACTGTAAATATGTAAAAAGCAGGTACTGGGAAAAGTAGATAAATGTGTGCAAAATATATTAAAAATGGGAATGTATGTAGGATATTTACAAAAAATTAGAAAATCAATAGAGAAATGTTAAGATGTGCAGATGCTGGGAGAAAGATACTGGAAGTTATTGGTTGAAAGAGATGAATGTCAAGAAAAAGAAAAAGTTATATATGAGAATATGTTTCCATGATATTATATCTTGGGAGAAGAATAAAACCAAGCTGAATGCAGTAGAATCGAGTACAAAAAATGTGTGGGCTAAACAGGAAAAGGTAGAAGCCTGTATGGATGCTGAATGAATTTGGATTAAAGACAGAAGTGAGTGACAGGTACAAAAGAAACATTTTGAAGTGGTTGGTAGTAAAAGAGAATGAATGTGAATTGACTTGCAAAACAAATACATAAAAGAAAAATGAATGAGCTGAGAGGAAGGAAATGACTAAGACTGATGTAGTTAGATGAAGTTGATGAGGTCTTCAAATAAAGAGATGAGAAGTTCAAAGAAACAAAAAGTGATGTACGAAGCAAGTACACAAACATGGAAAAAGGAGGGTTTGCAAGGATAGAAAAGTATGGAAAAGTACAGTTAGGTACTGGCTTTTTCTTATCCCATATCTTAATTTCTTTGGATCCCTGATTCTTTCTTCCTTTCCACAGTAGGAATATTATTTTTCTAAAAGCGATTAGCTAGAAATCCATGTTGAAAAACATACCTTCCTGATTTATACAATTCATTCTGAGAAGAATTTAAATATATCCAGTTTAAAATAGTGAGTAGATTATGAACAGTGTCATGCTTCACAAATAATGGTTTTTCTTTTTCTTTCAGTCTGCATGAAACAGATATTCACAAGGAAAATCACCGATTGGAGCCTATTTACAGAGCAGAAATGTTCTTAGATAGAGACTACTGCATGTCCCAAGGCCCCAGCTATAATTATCTTGACCCCAACTACTTTCCTGCCAATAGATGACAAGGAAAGCAGATGTGCAACCTGAAAACATAGTGTCACTTCTGAAAACCCAACAGCGGCACAGTCATTGATTCTGTGCCCACTTTGGAAAGACATATACTTTCCCAGGAATGTCATCCACTGCATGAGAGCTTCCCAGGTGCCCTTCTCAAAATACAGCTCTCTGATCCGTCTTGTTACTAAATCACTAAATAGAGGTTGAACATTCCTAGTGTGCAGGTGGCTGTACCGGGCAGATTTTCTTCACTCCATTAGTCCTTTTTTTTTTAAAAAGAAAAAGAAAAGTCCAAGAGATGAGTTACAAAAGTGTGGCCAGAAAAGAAAGCACACATTAAACATAGTCCAGAGGCTTAAAGAACTTGGCTATTGTGCGATGAACAGGTGATGAAATACTTAACATTGAAACAGTTTAATAGTTTGCAGTTTTGTTGTGGAAAATAGTCTCCAGCACAAAAACTGATTTCTTTCAGCAAAGTTTTAGCCTGTGGCAGTGTTTGCTTCTAGGAACCTACTCATAAAACAATCACTGTCCCAGGGGTGGTCATGATCGGCCTTGGAGCTGCTTAATTACGTAGATGTTTCTTTTACCTCTTTTATTTTCCTTTTTACCACAAACTTATTTACCGAGAGTGAAGCACTACAGGAGGCAACTGTGGCACTGCTTCCTTAACCAGCTCATGGTGTGTGAATATTATAAATTGTCATGCAGATATATTTTTAAATGTAATGTTATATAAAATGACCATGTGTTGTGTACAAAGCTATGGTGAAAAGTGCCAGTGGTAGTAACTGTGTAAAGTTTCTAAATCCCCATTAACTCTTATGGAATACACAGTCTTCTGCCTCTGTATTTAGAGTTGTTAATGCAACTCATCAAAGAAAACTGCCTAATATAAATCATATATGGTAATAATTTTCCTCTTTTTGTAGTATGCACAAGGTCCATGAAAGATTGTATTTTTATTACTATTTAAACAAGGTGATTAAATTTAGCCTGAACAGTGAGCAAGACTTCACATGCATTCTTTTATACTGCTGGATTTTGTTGTGCATCATTTAAAACATTTTGTATGTTTCTTCTTATCTGTGTATACAGTCTGTTCTTAAATAATGTTCAGTTGTCAGGAGAACTGTGAGAAATAAACTGTGGCTACCGTCTGTTTATATATAGAATGGTTACCGTGACTTTTTTTTCTGAAGAAGGTGAGAACATGAATTAGGCCGTAGAGAGAAGGGGTGCCTCACCTTCATCTTTTGCCTTGCTGCTTTTCGTCACCTTTCCCAGGATAATGCTCCAGCACCCTGTTTTGAACACGTCCACTAAATTCTGTACACAACCTTATCTATGCTCTAACTCGCAGATGCACCACTTGTGTGGGAGCAGATTTGCACAGCCAAAGGAATGCTCTTTTCAAAGCTCTTTCCGTTGTTGAAACAAATGGGGAATCAATTACGTGGAAGAAGATCATCTCAAAAATGCCCATAAGACTTCTCTGTAACCTGTTTTATTATTTTTATTTCTGTGTACTTCCGTGTCCTTGTTCTGCATATCCATCCCCCTTCTCCGTTGTCTTTATGAAATAAAGAAGACATTTTGGTACGCTTTACTAGGTGGAGAATAGCAATGACTGAAAAAGCTTCGTAGCATTTACTATATATTTTTAGTTAATATATCATTTCAACATGTGTAAGTTGTGATCCGGAAATGCGACTTATTTTAACTGTATTAGATTTCCACTTGCTTTAAAAAAAAAAACTTGAATTTTGGAAGTAATTTAGTATATGTGTTTAAATTAAACTACAGCAGTAACTAACAAGGAGTTGGCTGGCTCGTTTAATAACAGCATTAATTTGAGCTTAATTTCAGTATTAATTTTCACATTTTGTTTAGGTATACTCACTTTCTGTTAGAGGAGTTGAAGCATTTTTAATGAATAGATGATGCAGTATCATTTCTTAATGACATCGTCTGTAAACATATCTCATTCTTGAGAAATTTAATAAATCAGAATATATATAATATAAAACCATATACCTGATGTATTTCACTTTTCTCATTAATGGTAGCAAAATTGTAATGCTTTGGAAAATGAGTATCTAATGCAGATCTATTTCAAATTATCAGTTTATATATTCTCTGCACCCAGATGCTACTTTCTGATACAGCATTAGGTTTGTTAACATATTCCAGGTTTGTCATATGGGCATGTTCTAAGTACTCATTTTCTATCTCCTTTAGATAGAAGATTGGTTCAGGTGATCATACTGAGTTTAGGTTTTTCTATAAACAAGCCTCTAGAGGTGAAAAATGTTCTAAAGTTAAAACTTTCCAATGTGGAAAGCATTTCCTTTTGGAAAATAATCAACTTTCAATGAAATGGCCCATTCTAACCTCTATCTTGCAGTCTTTCCCTGAAATAGGATATTTGGGGACATAATTTTAGCTTCAGAGTGTTTTGCACAGCTCCTTAAGGCAAACACTGATTCCAGAGTAAGCCATATAAATTCCAAGCAAATTTATGTGGCAAGCCAATGATAATTATCCCATTCCTTCATTCTCATTTGTTCAAAACATGTTTTCCTGGCTTTACAGATCTAAATTCATACTGGAAAAAGCAGATGGTTGTCTCCGAAATTTTCATTGATAAAAGCTGTTTTTCCAGACAGACTTCTGACTATACATTGCTTTTCAGAAGTAAGAAACTATATGTTACACGTTTTCAGCAATTGACTGTACCCTATCCTCCTTATGCTGGTCTATGACCATAATAAAGATTGTTTTGATACGTTTTCAGCAAAGTTTCAACTGCCCTTTGAATTTAAAATCTTGTTTCCCACTGCCCTTTACTTAGTGTAGAGATTTTAGAGTTCTTGCTCAAAGTGCAAACCTGATTTTTATATGGTTCTTGTCAAACAGTTCAAATTTGTAGTTTTAAATGTTAATGATATTTTTTGAGATTTCTGTCGAATTTTGTCTTTAAATACAACACTCTTGTTTTGAAAGTGCTGCCACACCAGTTTCTATCATCTAAAAGACCTGAAAGGGATGCTCATAACCACACAACTATAAAAGTTTTCGAAATTCAAAACTCTGCACCCAATTAAGTGAAAATGTTTTTATGTGCCTTTGGATTGGATACCTATTTGTTTTGCAGGAGCCTTAAATACGAAGAGTAAATCTGATTACCCTTAACATTTGTCCATACATTTTATTTTTATTACCTTTTCATACAAGAGTAGTAGGTTGAAAAATACAAATTTGCTGAATTGCTTGTCGATAATGCAACTGTTGATAGGATCTAGCATGCAAGAAAAAATAGTGGACAGCCAAAGAAAAGGAGGCAGCTGTACAGACTGTAAGTTTTTCTTGTCTGTTGATCAACATTCCAAAAAAACCTTGGTTATTTCAGTCATCAAGAAGTGGGTGTGTCTGCGTACACACATGTGGAAATTGAAAATCTGAATTTAACACTGCTCATTTATGTCTTAAATTTCCCATCATGTTAAATGCCAAGCAAATTAAAAGATTTAAAGCTGATAATTGCTATATGTAGCTGTCACAGCAATCTACATAGAGACAATTATTGCCTGTAGTCTTTTGAAATGCACGTTAATTTTTTATATTCAGACACTGCCATGATTAACCCTAAATCAATCCATCTTAAGGATATAAGCAATATTTGGCACTTTTTTTCCTTTTCTGCAGACACTATCCCTCTGTTAGCATTGTAAATCAAAAATCTTTCAAACCATAACTAGATAGGATATTTGTATGATGGATACAGCAGCTGGTCTTGCAATCACAGTTATTTCACATTTGGTTCATGTATTGCAAATCACGCTTTTTGTGAGTCTCAATTCCACTATCTGGTGTGTAAATGATTGCAAACTAAATTGCAGACATGTTCTCCTTGTAAAAGAAAATGACAGAAAACAGACTGTTAAAGCACTACAAAAAAAAGAGCAAGCTTAAATAGCCTCAAAAATTGATTTGGGTTCAGCAGCAAATTCACTGTTACAGCACTTCTACTGACAGGGAATACTGTGCTTGACTATAGTATGTCTTGTAGTGAAATGAAGAATGTGTGTGTTCTATAAAACTCAGCTGCTGTTTATATCATGCTGGCTTTTTTAAACCTGTGAACTGCAAACTCATAGGCCATATAAAGTACACATGTATCATTACGGTACCATTTAAGTTACAAAGATTTTTACAATGTTTACAACATGCATTAATCTTTCAAGGCAGCAGCTCTTTCTTTGAACAGCATTTGTAAAGGATACTATGCATGTATGTGTTACAGCACTGCCATTACATTAAATTTTGAAAGTGATGCTATTCCTTCTTCAGAAAAGTATTGACTGAAGTGCATATCTCAAGAAAAACTTCCTCTGGTGTTCCTTCCGCATTTATCTGTTTAAACAAAAACATACATAGAAGTTAATTTCTCCTTTAAGATTCATCTCACATAGTAAAGGACAACAGCAGCCTTACATAATTAGATGCTTCCCAAACTTCCCAGACTCAATAACCATTGTAGCCAAGGCTGAAGAATTAAAAACAATAGCATTCTTGAAGAAACAAATGCAATACTCAAAACAAGGACTTTTATGGTGTCCTTGATGTTCTCTGAGCTTGGTGGATTTTCTTGCAGACGTTTCATTTCAGGTAAGACTAGTGCACTGATGATGTTACCTAATTTGGTAATGAAATGTTAGCAAGAAAGCCTATAAGCTCAGAGAGCACTGAGGATCTCACAGCTTAACTCCGAATTGCAGATACTCTCTTCTATCAGATCCCATTATGCCTAAGTAAATTCAGCCATTAATTTGAATATTGGATGGAAAAGAAGTGGAAAACCAGGAAGAGAAGTTAGAATCCTTGCTTAGAAACAATATTGGCTCATGTCTAGGAAAGCATGCCGTTGAATATTTTGTTAGGTTGCATCTCTCGTCAGAAAAGAAATAAAACTGACCACAAGTAAAATTCAAGCAATGTGCACCAGCCAAGTCTTTATAATATTACAGTAAAAAAAATCTTAAAAGAGAAAGTGGCTTAGGATCGGTTTGTTGAAGGCCAACCTGCTAATTTTTGGGATGTACAAAATATTTTAACACATGCTATAGCATGAACAAACCTTTGCAGGCAACCAGAAAATTGGTGTGAGCATCTAGGGCAGTAAAATGTGTTGCAAAATATCCACAGGTATGCTATATCAGCCAGAACCCCACTTCCCATGACTTCCTCTATTTCTCTTTATGCAACCTCTGACACCACAGAATTTCTGTTCTGTGGGCCAAAAGTTCTACCTATGAGGAGATCTGTATCTTGAAATGAAACAGGTTGAGAACCTCTGTTCTAGGCCATAGTTTATAAGTTCCTGCAGTGGCAACAAGAACTGAGATGATTACTCCCATTTCTTCCCAGTATGTGTTTTTCTTCTTAGATTTTAATTTGCTTTGGGGGGGAAAAACCCAGCTCTTCATATAAAACATCCAAAGTGAAAAACATACTGGGGAGGAAGAAGTGTGAATCTTAAGCAATCAGTTCTTAAGTGTTTTGGCAGCCAATGCTTTCTATGTTTCACGCTGAGCATTTTCAAGTGAGAACCACTAAATCTCAATATGGAGATAATCTTTCAATATCTGAAGGCATTCTGACTTTGCTATTCTATATGAAAGGCCTGAGTACACAAATTATTTCAGTAAGCAAAAAAGAAAAAGGCAATAGAGGCAATTTACTATTCTTTTTTTTTTTTTGCTATTTATAATAGAATTGCATAATATAGCCTAAATAAGAACCAGCAATAAGTATAGTAAGTAGCTATGTTCCTAATCTTCTATTAAATACATGCCAGAGTTGGGGATTTTGGTGTAAGTGTGAGAAAATTTGCAAAAGGGCATATTTAAAAACTTTAATTAAAGAAATTATTCTAATTAAGAGTTTTAAATAGTAGAAGAGGAAAATAAAGGGAGACTGAATTGCCAAATCATTTATAATCTAAAATAAATGCCAAGTAAATTTCACTCAAATGTATTGGAACAACAGGTAGCATGTGCTATGTTTTACAGAAATGTATTTCAAACCCAAAGGCTGGACTTATTCTAGATTATATCACACTTCATAATGAAAACAATGAGTGTTACACTCATGATTAAGGTTTTTTTTCAATTTCAATGTATTTAAATTTAGTGAAATGGCAAATCATCTGCCATTTCTCAAGTTTTCACAGCATATGTGAGTCAGGCTGATCCAGAGAATACTCTATTTTCATGGTACAACATTCTTGTTTTTCTATCCTCCCTTATGGGTTGTAATTATTGCATTAATTCCAGAGAATTATACGGGAGAATTTTGAATCTGTCCTTTCCAGATGACAAGGGAACCTGACATGTCCAAGATCCAGAAGTCTTGCTTGAAATTAAACTAGCCACTCTGGACAACCAGTACAGCCGCACTGCCACACATTTAGATGAACTATTTCCTTGAAGTTAACTGACCCTTCTCAGATTCACCATAAAGAAAAAATCCTAGAGAGGCTCCCCAGAAACCAGAACAACGCTTTAGCTCTGTGGTCTTTTCTGCTTTTAACTTGCCACATATATTTTTGTGGGGGGGGGGGGGGGGGGAGACGGTTGAAAAGCAGACACCTGGGGGCAGATATAAATCCTATTTCTCCACCATGACATCAACTCCAAGACTGGAAAGCAGAGAGGAATGTAAGAACCTTTCTGCTCTTTTATGATATTTGAGGAATAAAAATATGGCTACTAGCCAACTAATCAGTCATCCCAAAACATGACCTGTCAACATATGAAGGTGAAAACACTGACTAAAGAAAAGGATCTAAGTCAAACATAGTTTATCTGACAAATGAAGCAAATATATGTGTCCCAGGATAATGTTGCAAAAGATTTCTTCTGTGGTTTTTGGAATCATGGTGGAGCCCATCCTCAGGGAATTTCTCTCTACCAGAATATAGTTTATCTGTGACATGTTTTTTTCCTTAGATTTTTTTTTCTCCTTGTTTCTGGCCACTTTATACATAACAATCAGACAAAATATAATTCACTTTAATTTTTAGTCTTTTCTAGATTTCCCCGTGATATTTACAGGAATATGCTAACGTGCATTTGCGACTCAAAAAAAATTATATCTTTCTTCTCAATGGTAGAAATTGAGTGAGAGGACTTACTACGTCAGAACATTTATGACACAAGTGAATTATCTCTTTAAAACATTACCACATAAATAGAAGATAGATCAAGTAGAAAATCAAGGCAATCTACCTTAAAAAGTGGGGTTGTGTTTTCATAATATGCAATTAATGGCTCAGCTGTTTTATAGTAAGCTTCGATGCATTTCATGATAGCTTCACCATTATCCTCAAGGCACTGACTTTTTTGCAGAAGGCGAGTACTCATAGTCTTAGAAGAACAATCCATGCAGAGTACCAGAGAGGGCTCACCAATCTGAAGAAATGGAGAAAATAAATGACATACGTTTTTCACTTTTTTAAAACTGTCCCCTTTCTGATTAAATTAGTTCAGTATAATTTTCTTCCTTGTAGGAATAAGGTAACTGAATACATGGGTCTGTACATAAGATATAGACTTATTGCCTGTGCCTTTATCCACAGCTTTTTTTAAGGAGCAAGAAAACTATAGGCTCCAGGATGGTTTATTCATGATTGCATGAGTCTTAAAGTCATTGCTTCAATCCCATTGCTTCAAAATAAACTTACGTTGCAGGGTAGGCTGATATATGGTAATAATAATGATTGCTTTACCATCCTGTAATTATTTTATTAAATAATAGAATAGAATAACATAGTTGGAAGTTGGAGGTCTTCTAGTCCAACCCCCTGCTTAGCAGGATATCCTACACCACTTCAGACACATGTAAATATTTATGTGCATCTCTAGGTGCCACATAAAAGTATTTACACAGAAGTATAGGATACAAAGAAAAGTTTTTTCGAGGAAGTAGAACTAATCCCCGTCATTCAGTTTAATTCTAGTTTCATGAAGCTCAAAGGAAGCTTCTCCTGTTTATACAAGTTATATAAACAAAAACTTCTATACATATAATTGTATGTTTAAAACCCTTTAGGGGTTTTAAGCCTTTTTCCTTTTTTCACAGTTTTATTCCTGTGTGTCACACCAAAAGTTAGGTTGCAAATGTTAAAAATCTTTTAAAACTGACATGAAACTCCCATTGTATAGGTTTGTTATGCCTCAAAAATATTTCATATACACACAACAATAATAACAGAGAAAGTCTTTTAAGTGCTTTTTGTAAAGCTGATTCTGGTGTCTATTTAACATGTGAATCATGACAAAACAAAGAAGTATTTTCATGATGAGATTATAAACTTTCTTTGAAAAACAGTTCACCCACGGCTGCATTGTTCTTCGAGTTAAGAGTTTTTTAAAAAACCAACCTCTCTGGATTTTGTCTCTCTGGAAGGAGACATTCACTTTGCTTAAGATATGTTGTCATGAGCAAATACCTTTGTTAAATTTTTAGTATCATTAGTTTAAACATGTATCTCCCCAAATTATATCTATCCAAACAAAAAAAGGTGGGCGGTGGAGAAAAAAAGGTAAGTACTACAAGGTGATATTGGAGAGGAGAACTTAATGCTGTTCATACACGACACAAGGTGGCACCACTATACCAGAAATTAAAACTACACATTCTATCTTAGCAGGGAAATTATTTTACTGAAACACATGGATCTGTTTTTGTTCTCCAGAGTTCCCACAATGCAACCATTGATTGAAAAAGCAATTAAATGTTTGCAGCATTACAATGTCTGGGCTTAGAAAAGAAATCTATTTCACAATCTAAAATAACAATCTAAAATTAATGATCCCAGGAGTCATTCAATGTTGGAAATATCTCCAAAGCAGTTCAGTTTTTCTGGTAGAATTCTTGCATTGCAATGAAGGATGTTGGGATGGTGTTTTTTTTTTCCAACCTCTTCAAACAGTTTTCTTCTTTAGTATTGGGCATTCTCCTTGTTTTTTTTTCTTTCCATTTCCTAATTCCAGTTAATTTGTGGTAGTGAAAGGAGCAGAAAAATTTACATTGCATTACAGCCCCAGGTTTGTTGACAATTTTAGGAAGGCAGGAGAAGTTAGATCCAGAACTACTTTGGGGAGGCAACTGTTTTAAATGACCTTTAATTATTCTCTTTTATTTCATAAATTGCAAATTAAATTCATGAAACACAAGAGTAGAAATTTATGTTGAAGATACAGTATAGTCACACTTACCATAGATCGGAGTTGCCAGATAATCCCTAAAATTATTCATTCTTTTGGGACTGTCCATAAAATTCAGTTTGGGCTAAGAAAGATGACTATCTCCATTTATTTGTAGAATGGTTATACATGAATTAAGCTTCAACTTTCTGTGCCTAGGGACAACTCAATGAGGGCTTCTGATAAATCATGGCTTAGTGAAAATGTCTCTGTGAATGAGCAGAAATTGCAACCACTATGTCCAATGAAAGAATGGTGAGTATAGAGATTGTTCAGAGGTCTCCAGAGAAGAGAATAGGAGATGGCCCATGAGTGTTTTGAATGGCAGCTCTTCATGAGGAGCCTGTAAATTAGTGGTCTCCAGTGGGTTTGAGCGCCAAGAGCCATTTGCTCTTATTTTAATATCCTATGAAATGCATCCTCATAACTAGAGGCAATTTGTAGAAACAAATCCAGGCAATTATTATTCAGCCTGAGAAAGAATGAAGGAGGACTCATAAGGTAATCTTCCACTTCTTAAGACTTTTCTCTCTACAAGAGAAAAAGAACCATCTAGACCAGGGCTCGCCAACCTTTTGGACCTCAGGGACCACCAAACTCATAATTTTAGATCCCAGGGACCACTAATGGGTTCTGTGGGCGTGGCCTAATTTGTGGGTGTGGCTTGGTGGTCATGTGACTGGCTGGGCATGGCTTGTATGTAAATATTATAAATATTTATATAAATATTGGATTTTTTTTATAAAAAAGAGCAACTTTTACCCAAAATCAGGCAAAGCAGGCAGGCAGATTGAGTTGCTCACAGAATCACAGATTCATTCAGAAATCTATCTGCCATTGGCTAGCTCAGTCTGTCCCATAAAATTTGCTTGCAAGCTAACTCATAAAATTTGCTAGCAAGCAAACTCACAAAATTAACTCACAACACACCATGTATGTAAATATTTAATTTTTTATTAAAAAAAGCAACTTTTACCCAAAATCAGGCAAAGCAGGCAGATTGAGTTGCTCACAGAATCATTCAGTGATCTATCTATCTGCCATCAGCTAGCTCAGTCTCTCAAATTTGCTTGCCATGAGTCTGCACTGAATTTGCTTGCAAGCAAACCTTCAGTCCTAAGGGAGGTTCGGCTGTGCTTAGCTAGAAAGCAAGAAATCCAACCATTTCCTGCTTCCTAGCTAACCTAAATCTTCCGGCACAGCAGAACAGATGATGGTCGGAAAAAGGAAAAATAGCAACTTAGCAGACAAGTTTGCCAGGTAAGGAGTGAGTGGGCGGGGAGGGTTCCCACAGGCCATGTGGGCTGCGCAGCCTTGTGTTTCTGCGCAGCCTGGATTAATTGCTTTGGAGGGGGTGCTCTGGGGGTGAGATTTCTCTGCAGCCCACCAAAATTTTCTCATGGCCCACCAGTGGGCCACAGCCTACCGGTTGGCGACCACTGATCTAGACAGCAGCTAGGTTCAACATATGTGGGGATTTAAAAAATAGATCTTTGAATGTCATTCTTTAAGTTGAACCTAATTTCCACTTTGACTGATCCAAACAACAAAAACATTTGAGACCATCTGTCTAATTTGATTGTATTCACTTGAGATTCCATGTCAAAGTTTATATGCACAGCAAGTCTATTTATAGTTAGTAACAAATATGTCTGAAGCTTAATCCCAAGAGACATTTTGAAAGTTAAGCCTCTGTCATGACAATAAAATTATATAAGGAAATACAGTAGGCAAAAATAATTAAAAAAAACATGTTAGAAATTGTCTAAATTACACATCCATTTACAGTTGAATGTTTTCCAGAAGCAAAAATTAAATAGGTTCTTTTTTAAAAGCTCAAGGTGATTGTCTAGGTATAATCTATTATTTAAATTCATACCTTGTATTGTATTTGAACTTCAGAATAGTGTGATATAAATTATAGTAATGTAGATTTTATAGGTTTAATGAATGATCTTTATTTGTAATCTGTGGTAATCTAAATATGATTTACTTTTGACCTAGCATTTTCTGCAACTCAGACAACTGTTGCTTTATGCTTAAATAAACCATGGATTGGCAGGATGCATAAACACCAACCAGTATTAAATTAATGTATAGATTTCCATTTAAAATGAAGTAGCTTTGCTAGTTTCATATATGCACACACCAGTGGTGGTATTCAGCGGGTTCGCACCAGATCAGGTGAACCAGTAGCAAGGATTTGGCGTGGGTCGCTGAACCGGTAGTAAGTTCTGGCTGGCCATGCTCCCGACCCGGTCACCCGGTTGCCGCTGGCTTGCTTGCCCCGCACACCCAATGCTCACTCATCCCGCCTGCCTGATGCTAGCCCCTTAAAGTATTTCTCTTTTTTCCCCTCCTGACAATCAGCTGTTCATACGATCAGCTGTGCCAGGATTCCCCTTGCTGAGGCCCAGGAAGGCAAAAAATGGAGGGAGGGGCTCAGCCTCCCTCCATTTTTTGCCTTCCTGAGCCCCAGAGGAGCCTTCGGGGAGCAAACTCCCCCCCGAGGCTCTTGTGAGGCCAGGAAAGTCCCAGAACGGAGCGTGTCCCTCCCATGCTCCATTTGTTTTCTTCCTGAGCCCCAGAGGATCCTTCTGGGAGCAAAAATGCCCCCCCCCCGAGCTCCTCTGAGGCCCAGAAGGTCTAAAAAACAGGTTGAAAGGTGACTGCAAAAAAGGAAAGAAAAAAAAAGTCACACCCACCTAACCACGCCCACAGAGCCAGTAGTAAAAATATTTGAATCCCACCACTGGTACACACCCATACTATATACACATATACATACATACATACATACATACATACATACATACATACATACACACACACCCTTTAGTAAACATCATATTTATAGAAATGAAAGATTGTGCAAGAAATGAAAGACAATTAAGTGCTGTTAAATTAGTAGGAAATTGGGGTTTAGGATTAGGGTTCAGTCTCTCCTATATGGAACTGCATTTCCTTTAAAGGGCAAATTCACAGAATGGAATTCCTCCCTGACCACTAGCTATTTCTGGATTTAGTTGATAACCCTGATAAGAAATGTGTTTTGCAAAACTATGTTTAGGCTGTCATCTGTGACCATTTCTGAAGTCATCAGATATGACAAGGGTTACCCATCCCTTGATTACATCCTGACTACTATGATGCACTTCGTATGGATCTACCCATGAAGAGTGATTGGAGTCCTTGATTAGGTCAAAGTACTGCAGCTAAGCTATTAATAAAGTAAAGGGATCATGTCAATACTGAGAATTTACGCTGGTTTAAAGTATTGATATTACCGTTTAAAACCCTAAATGGCTCAGGATTTGAGGAACTACATCCTCCACTTGTTACAATCATTGACATTGATTCTCTAGATACATGAGGGAGGAGCCTAACCCAATCCTAATCCTATGATGTTCCTGAGCCACTGAAAGTTGTGCTCATAAGTCACATTTAGCCCACATACTTCTGCCTTTAGGAAATGGGAGAAAACCCTACTTTCCACTTAGGCCATTTTAGCTCCAAATACTTCACGGTGACTTTAGCTCTTGTTTATGATCACATTGTTTGTTTGTTAGACTTAGATCCCACTGTTCAACTTCATTGTTTTGGGTGTCCCGCGGGGATAATATAAGCTGAAATAGTGATGCTGTTCTAACCTATTAATTGCTCTCACGCTTTCATTTATTCAGAGAGAATTAGAAATATGCTCTCTATTCTATCTTCCTAGCAATTATCGCTCCAGAGCATCTCGAACACCCTTTTACAGGGAAGAGTAATATGCCAATACTTTAATAAGCAATGTGAAAGCGTAGTTACTGAAAGTGTGTGCGAAGTAGAGATGTCATTTTCACCCAGTAGCTTTGGCACTTCTGATGTTTCTAAGACAACAGATAATGTGTGGAAATTATGTTGCATGTTAAAATTGTTTCTGCCTTAGGGCATTCTTAAACTGGTCCTTTGTGTAGTTCGAGTGTACATCACCTTTGCACATATTGCATCAAAAGGTAGAAATGCTGCAAATGCAGCTTTTTAAGTCCTGCAAGTTGACAACAACGTAACTAAGTAATATTTGTTGACTATGAAGTTCAGGGGAAAAGTCAGCCTTTCAATAGACAATACTGGACAGGAGAAAATAGAATTAGATGAGGAAAATGTCTTATAATTAGGGAGATTATCCATCTGATTCAGTCTTGCCAACATTACTCGGCAATAGATTCAAGATTTCAAACAAACATTTTTTTAGGGTTCCCTGGAGAAGGAAAGGACATCTTGCATTCAAGCAACCGCTCAGCAATTTCTTTTGCATGATGTGATTGCTCACCTCATTCTCAAACTGTTCTCCTTGTTGAATCTCTTGGGGATAGCCATCAATCAAGAATCCCTTCGCGCTTTCCATATTGGCAAGTATAGCTTCTTTTAAGAGCTCCGTGACAATATCCTTAATTGAAGAATACAAAGTAGTTTAGTTTAACATCTGGTCTGCAAGCTGAAGTGCCTTGGAATGAGACATAACCTAATATGTTCTTATTCCAAGTATCTTGTGCATTTATGTTCATGCACTATTTTACCAAATTTACCTATTGAAGACATTCCAAAATCCCTTTCATTACTGAGTCTTAACCTAGACATTTTACAACCAGGGAAAAACTAGAAAATGGGGGGGGGGGAAGGCAGTACTCCCTTGAGAGCTAATTATTTTAAATACTGGAGCACATTATCAAGCATATCTCTTACAAATATATTCAGTTGAAGCAGCCTTTTTTTGAAAATGTCTCAATGAGAGCAGCAAAGATACCTAAGTTATTGGGCTTCACTTATTACCTTGCTTTCTTTAAAACACAACAGGTTTTGAGTTAATACATATTGTTCTTCAAACAAATTTCTGGAGAAAGAACCTATCTACCGTGTTTCTCATATAATAAGGCCGGGTCTTATTTTTTTTTGAGCCCCGAAAAAACGGCTAGGCCCTGGCGGGATGAGTGGAGGGCCCAGCAGGGAGGCGCCCACTGCCTTGGCCAGAGCTCTGCTGCCGGGCAGGAAGGCCCGTCTGTCAGCTGCACAGGGCGTCCCAGGTGAGGGTCTTTGTGCTCTGCCCGGTGCCAGGCAGGGATGGCGGCTGGGCACTTCTCCCAGGGTGGGCCGGTCCTGTGCTGCGGCCCCGGGAGATTCGCCTCCCCATGTGGAGTTGGGCTGCCCTCTCGGGCAGAGGAGGCTTTGTCGTAGTAGGGCATCGTTTATAAAAGAATGGGCTTTGCCTTCAAACGATGCCCTGGAAGGCGGCGACAGGAGCTCCTGAAGCCAAGTGGCTCTGGTGGGGCTCCAGTTGCAGGGAGGAGCCCTCACCGGCCCGGTGCCAAATGCCACAGCGACACTCCAAATGCCATGGAGGCACAGGCAGAAAGGAAAGCAATGGTGGCAGAAGGTCTCCCAATACGAAGTGTCCCACCGACGTCAAGGCTGACATCCACACCGATACTGCACGCCCGCTGAACTAGCCTGCAGCAAAAGTACTTGGCGAGAGTAGGGAGGTTGGTGGCAAGGCATGGTGGCTGCCTGCGGGGCGCTCCTAATGGCAAGCCCCCTGCCCTTCCGCCTCATTTTGCATGTTTTAAAATAGGCCTAAATTTGGGGGAGGGGCTTAATTTCATTTTATGCCTATAAAACATGCTGGGACTTCCTATTGGGGGGCCGTATTGTTGGAGAAACACAGTAGTTTTGATATCATCCAATCAAGTTTCTTCCTTCTCTCCTCCCATACACACCCCCATTGAAGAGATTACATTAACTTTGGAATCACATCTTACCCCTGGTATAAATTCACCACTCTCGGTTATATCTCTGACATTCTTACTCCTTCCAGATACTGTCTCATTTTGGATCAGATCTTCTATGGACAGATGCATGAATCCATACTTTTGTGCTAATTTCTCACACTGGGTTCCTTTGCCAGAGCCTGGGCCACCTTTATAAGTAAATATAAATTTATAAATTTGAGAGAGAATAATTGACTCATCGTAGACAAAAATGATCATAGGAGTATACCAATTAAACATCACAGAAGCATACCATTAAATGGTGGTAGTAGATAATAAAGGCCTCTTCTAGATTCAGCATTGCAGAATCCATAATGAAATCTCTTTCATTTCTAAACTATTATTATACCAATGTTTTTTTCACATACAACTGCCCAGTCATTGATTGAGATGGGCGGCCATGAGAATTGAACAGATAGATCAGGGATTTAAAACTCGCAATGACATGCTGTCGTCACGTGATGTATTTCCACTTTTCCCCCCTTCGTTAAACTGGGGTTAGGCATGGCCAGCACGTGATGCATCTGGCCCTGGTCCACGAGTTTAACACCCCTGATAGATAGATAGATAGATAGATAGATAGATAGATAGATAGATAGATAGA